TTCATGAGTTTCCAGCCAGTACATAAGTTAAGCTGAAAGAATTTGTGTAATAAACTGTGATAAGCAGAGGGTACCGTTGCTGGTTCTGTGAGAGAAACTGGACTTTAAAGACTAAATACTTCAATCTGACTTCATGGTAATTTGATGCAATCCTTCTTAGGATTCCCTGTTTGAGATTCTGAATCCATTCTGCATTAACTTGTGTGACGGCGGTGTTAGACACATACATTAGTCAATGGGCACAAGTTTGCTGCTGCCACCTTCTCCTAAGGAGACATTTGCAAACAGGAAAAGGGAGTACTTTGGCAAATGTTTGGACTGTTATGAGTGTTTACAGAATCGTGATCATCCAGACTAGTAAACAGTTGAGACTTCTCAGCAGTTTGATTTCTCCTGGACCTACTTGTTGCTTACTAACAAATAAAAACTTGATCTGGACATGCAAGTCAATTCCAAGAACTATACTTGGCTGCAAACAAGTGCATGGCAGTGCTAACTCTTGTTTTCCAGCCAACTGATTGCAGTGACTGATTTTGTATTTCTACCTCTGCTCTTGCTTGGTGTTTTTTTGGTTTGGTTTGTCCGTCCATCTGTTCCCCCCCCCCCCCCCCCCCCCCCCCCCCCCCCATGCAGTATCATCTGCTAGTGGTGAATTCTCACGTGCCCAAATGGATTTAACTGCAGGATTTAACAGGCTTGCATTGAGGTAGTGACTCTTTGGGCTCCACTGGCCTTGGCTGCACAGTCCCTGCTCTCGGCTGCACCTTGTCCGTCTGAAGAGAAGGCCTGACAGACTCCCTGTTCAGAGGCAGCTGTTAAGATACAGACATCTGATATGTGACATTTGCACTTCATACTAGGCCTAAGCCCTCTCACCTTCCAGCAGAGAGGAGAGGACTAACAGTAGTAAAACAAAAAGAGTAAAGTTGACAGAAGAAAGAATACTCTAAAGATGAAGAAACAGCAGGATCAAGCTCATAAAAGGAGAGAAGAACAACTGTGACTTTTCAGGAATGACCATATGCAAAAAAACAATCTCTTTATAGCCCCTGAAATAATCCACCACCTCTCTTCGCCTGCAGTCCTTAAGGGTGGGGGGATTTTTCCAGCTCTGTGGCACACTGGGCTGTTCTCCAGAACTGCTGAGCATTTTGTGACTGGCAAGAAGTGTAATGGCTTCTGGCAGGCTCAGGGAACCTGTAGGCTGGGGGAGAGTTGTGACTTCACCTTGCAGGGCCTCCTGCATCACAGATCTACTCTTTCTGTTCTTCATGGTTGTTGATGTTAAGATTCCACTTCCCTGCTCCCTGCAAAGCAGGAGGAGCAAGTATATAATATGCCCTATCTCGTGGGATAAATGCTGACCTACTAACCACTTCCTTTGGAAGCCACAGAGGTACTGTGCGTGCTCCCTATCAGTCAGATTTGGAGGCTGCAGAGTAGACACTGTGACTGCAATGCAGTGGGAAGTTCCCAATGGGGAAGGCTCAAGGAAGCACAACCTTTGGCACCATCTCTTCTGTGCTCTTCTTTCCCATAGTGAACTTGTACTGGCAGAAGACCTCAGCTGTTGCTCTTTGTGAAGGCACCCCCCTCCATGGATTCCTCCCTGCTCCTACCTTTCAGCAAGCCTGGATTAGCCATTACAGAGAAGACAAAGCAGGAGTACTGTCCTGTGTAACTAAAGATCCAAGCTCAAAATGCATGGCACAGTTTGTGTTCTAGCCTGGTGCTCGCCGAAGCTGTTAATTTTCTCCCCAGGTGTGTGCCAACACACAGCTTGTTTTGATGCCTCCGAACCATGCTGGCAAATGCCTGAGTCAGCAAGGAGCAGAGAGACTGGTGAGGTGGGTTGAGGGTGTGAGTATCTCCTGCTGCTACTAGATTCAGTAAGCCGTTGCATTGGCCGAGTATCCCAAACAGCCTCATAGGGTGCAAGGATGATGGGAGAGCAGCAAAGTTGGCTAAGCTTCGTAAGAATTGATAATTGTGCTTCATTGTACCTAATGAATTCTTTGCATACATTTTTTTAAACATCTGGATCTTCTTTCCTAGTTGTAAAATGTATGAAAGAAGGACAGGTGTGGCATTTTTTTTTTCTGGATGTTTTTCTGTGTTGGCAGTTGCTGATAATTTGCTTGCCTCAGATTTGAGATGAAATCCTTCTGTCAGCAGAGACAGCAGTAGAGACAGAAAGAGAAAATTCAATGCTAAGCACTGAAGTAATGCCATGCAAGCCTGTAAAATAAAAGCCTAGCTGCTCAGGTAAGGTGACAATAAGTTAATAAATACCACAATAGTTGTCCCTCGAGAGAAGCCTACGGTCATGTAGGCCGTGAACTTTCCAAATATACCACTAAAAGAAAAAAAGTGTGACCAAGTGAAGCCTGGGCTGTGATCACCTGCTTTATGAATAAAGGCAACTGAGTAAAAATCTTTGATAGGAGGTAATTGCCAAGAGGAGGGTATATGTTAAGGAACAGGTAAAATCTGTAACAGGAGTTGTTCAGGCAGCTTATCTGCTAGAAGACCAGGGTGGG